TTTTAGTAGAGACGGGGTTTCACCATGTTGACCAGGATGGTCTTGATCTCTTGACCTCGTGATCCACCCGCCTCGGCCTCCCAAAGTGCTGGGATTACAGGCGTGAACCATCGCGCCCGGCACCTTCTCATTCTTTACTGTGATGGCTTTCTTTTTGAGACAGGCTCTCACTCTGTCACCCAGGCTAGAGAGCAGTGGCATGATCTCAGATTACTGCCACCTCTGCCTCCCAGGTTCAAGTGATTTTCCTGCCTCAGCCTCCCGAGTAGCTGGGACTACAAGTGCATGCCATGACTCCTGGATAATTTTTTCTTTTTTTTACTAGAGACAGGGTCTCCTTGTGTTGGCCAGGCTGGTCTTGAGCTCCTGTCTTCAAGTGATCTGCCCACCTCAGCCTCCCAAAGTGCTGGAATTACAGGCACAAGCCACCGCGCCTGGCCTGTGATAGCTTTCTTAATGCCCTGGAGACATAGACAAAGGAATGTCAACCACATCTACTGGAGCACATCAGGAAAGGCTTTGATTAGGCAAAAGGCAACAAGGGGAAAAAGGGAAGGCTCTCCAGGGAGGAAATACTCTTTTTCCATGTTGCTGTTGTTTTAAACCACTGTGACTTCAATGGCATGAACACCATCCTATGTATGCATCCTTCCTAAACTCTACTAGACTCGGACCATAATAGGGAAGCAGAAGAGTGGCAGTGGCTAAGTAGGAAGACTTTAGAAACAGGTTTGAGTCTGGCTCTGCCACCACTTAGTGCAATTTGGGGTAGGTAAGTCACTCCCTAAGCCCTAGTTACCTCATCTTTAAAGCAGAGATAAGAAATCCTACCTAACAGGGTGGCTATACATATAATTACAGGTTTAATGTAATACAGGTGATAATACATATAAACATATATGCTTATGCTTGGTCTGTTGTAAAAACTCAATAAATGGTTTTTACAACAGACCAAGAACAATTAACACCTACTATCATTATCTCATTTCTAGGCTCTTAAAATCATCTGTTAAGACCTGGTATTAATGCAAAATTAGTAAAATAAAGTTGTTCACTGGCACGTATTAAATTGGCTCAAACTTATAAATTAGGATTTCTAGAGTGAGAAAAAAAGACATTTAACTTATATACCCTTCTGTATTTCTAATTCTTCCTATTCCCTAAAACTTGCTCTCCTTCCACAATGTCATGTTCTACCATAATAAAAAGAAAAACCAAAAGAACACACAGTAACATCCAAAAACTAAATCATGGGAGATAGGTGAAAACAATTACATTAACAAATACCTGTCCATTTTCCCACATTGTGAATAAAGCTCTTATTTATGGGAAGGTAGAGCTTGCTGCCTATTAGAACATGAGCTCTTTGGAGAAAATGAGAACACAGCATATGGGGATTAAAAGATATGATCGCCAGGCGCCGTGGCTTACACCTGTAATCCCAACACTTTGGGAGGCTGAGATGGGCAGGTCACCTGAGGTTGTTCAAGACCAGCCTTACCAACATACAGAAACCCCATCTCTACTAAAAATACAAAATTAGCCGATGAGGTAGCGCATGCCTGTAATCCCAGCTACTTGGGAGGCTGAGGCAGGAGAATCACTTGAACCTGGGAGATGGAGGTTGCAGGGGGCCAAGATCATGCCATTGTACTTCAGCCTAGGCAGCAAGAGCAAAACTCTGTCTCAAAAAAAAAAAAAAAAAAAGATACAATCTACTTCCAGCTGGCTTGACCTAATACCAGAGTTAGCTCCCTAAGGCCCATCAACAGTCTATTCCCATAACATTCTTCTCTCACCCAAGAGTTTTTTTAGAAATCAATTCTCATACCTTCTGATTTTCTTCTTTTTCCAAGTACATATAGTAGGTGGGGAAGAGGCCTCGATCCATTCCCTTTTTATCCCGGATTATCCGACATCTTACTGTGACACCTTGAGGGGCAGGACTATACACAAAGTCCTCGAGGTCATCTATGTCTCCCAGGAGGTTATCAGCTGGCTGGGCTGCAGTCGCAGAACCGGAAGTGGCTGTATCCTGAAAGGACAGCCACACATGAGCAACAGGCGGCTGGGACTGAAAATCTGATTCTCTTTGAGAAACACTTAGTGGACGAAGCAACTTAGTGGTTTACCCCTATGTCTTCAATCTTCTAACATAATAAGGAAAACTGAAAAGTGAAATAAGAATATGAATATTCAGAGTAATGAAGAGCTAAGTTTGAAAATGGGACAAAGCCTCACAATAGCTGACCTGAGACAGAAGAAATTAGATCATGAGCTAAATTTGAGCTTACACTTCTGAAGGAATCCTCACTCAGTAATGGTATTTAAATACTGAAGGTATGTTTGAGAAAGAGTCAAATTAGCTCTAATGGAAGAAGTTTCAGAACTACATACGGTTGAATTCTGGCTGGATGCAGAACTGGGTCTTTCTAAACATGCTGACTGGGATCTTCCATCAGTCTCATCATCGAAGTTCACACTTTCAGAGATCTCTAGCAGAAAAGGAAGAACTGTCAGCACTGCTAACACTGGTTTAAAAAAAGATCTTTGAAACAAAGATAGTTTTAATTTTCTTGCTTAAAATATTCCTAACTATTCTTTCCCTAAACACAAGTATTTTGTCCAAATACATAAATGAGGCAAATTCACAGAGACAGAAAGTAGAACAGAGGTTAGCAGGGGGTGGGGCAGGGGTGAATGAGGCATTATCCTGAGTGAGTGTGAAGTCTGGGGATGATGAAAAAGTGCTGGAGATGGATGGTAGTGACGGCTGCACAACATGTGGATGCACTTAATGTCACCGAACCTCACACTTAAAAATGATTAAAGTTGTAAATTTTAGGCAGGGCGCAGTGGCTCATGCCTGTACTCCTAGCATTTTGGGAGGCTGAGGCAGAAGGATTGCTTGAGGCCGTGAGTTTGAGGCCTGTCTCTATAAAAACTTTTTTTAAAAAAATTAGCCAGGCATGATGGTACCTGTGTGTCTGTAGTCCTAGCTAGCTAAGGTGGGTGGATTACTCAAGCCCAGGATTTTTAGGCTAAAGTCAGCTATGCTTGTGCCACTGCACCCCAGCCTGAGCAATAAATGACACCCGAACTCAAAAAAAAAAAAAAAAAAAAAAAGTGTACATTTCTTGTTATTTGGAAGGGAAGGGAAGGTTTTCAGTAAAAACAGGAAAACTTGCTAGACAAGTTCTAAAAAGAGCTGTAACACTATTAACTTTTTTCTTGAGACAGAGTCTCACTCTGTCACCCAGGCTGGCGTACAGTGGTGTGATCTCAGCTCACTGCAGTCTCCGCTTCCCTGGTTCAAGAGATTCTCTTGCCTCAGCCTCCTGAGTAGCTGGGATTACAGGTATGTGCCACCAAGCCCAGCTAATTATGTATTTTTAGTAGAGACAGGGTTTCACCATGTTGGCCAGGCTGGTCTCGAACTTCTAACTCAGGTGATCTGCCCGCCTCAGCCTCCCAAAGTGCTGGGATTACAGGTATGAGCCACCATGCCCAGCCAACACTAATAACTTTCACGTTACAATGCATATTTTACCACAATAAAAAAAATTCAGTGTTCTCTACAGCAGTTCTATTCCCCCCAGCATTTTCTTAATCTCTTTCTAATTAGCTAAATCTAATCAGGAATGTCTGAAATACTAACACTTTGGATTTATGGAGCATATTTTACAGGAAATTTTAAATTGCTGAATGAAAAACTATTTTTTCATTTTATGCTTACATTTATTTGAGTTAGAGGAGGAGATATTGCTAGTCTTTTTGTTTTCTTTCTTTTTTTTTTTT